GCCCAAATTTCGTAGTGACCTCTCCAGAAATGGATGCACACACAGAGGCAGGCCGTGGTGCATTCATTGGGTTGATCGTCAACTGGTCTTTCTGCAGCGAGGATCAGCTCGGATATGATTCCTCAGTGAGGTATTTAAATAACCTTGGCTGCTGGGAGATAGCAGTGCCTGGCGGTTCTATAGGCGACACAGATAACAGCAGCAGCAGCATTGACACTGTTTCACTGGGTCTACTGGGAGGTGTTTTACAGCAGCACCATCCTTTTGACTGCTGATCGGATGTTTGGGCGGCACACACGGTGCTTTATAGCAACAGAGGTCAAGCCGACTGAAAGGAGTTGCATCAAGATGGAGGATTGCGACACCCTAATTAAGGATGCATGGCTAGAGTCTGTGGGTGATGAAGGTGTGGATCCACGCAATGAGGTTGCTCATCTGCACGACATCACCCAGACGCTGAAACATTATCAGGAGCTTGCAGGCACATACCCAGAACTCAAACGTGGCGGTCTAGTGTGCCTTCAGCAGGACAGCGACAACACACTTACTGAGGACACGACCCTCAGTATTCTTGGCGATCTTTTTCCAATTTAGTGGTTGGCAACAAAAAAGAGCAGGAGCACAAGCCACAACTCCGTGTACACAGGCGTGTTGCCATGTCGCCAATTGGAAAGCCGCTCAATATGCTCAAGTCTGTGCCAGAACTCATCATTGTCGTTGCCGACACCATGCGTGCTCACCGCGCTATTGTCGAGCATTGCCACATTCTGCACCGTGATGTTATGCCAGGAAACATTCTGTTCCGGCGCATGAATGATGGAACCGTCAAGGGTATGCTGGTCGACTTTGATCACGCGGTCAATTCTTCAAAGGGCCCTCATACTCCACATGATGAGCGCACAGGTACTCTCCCATTTATGTGCATTCATGCCTTAGAGAGAAGCCAGCTCCCACGCACCGAACTCGACGACTGGGAGACGATGATTTATGTCTTAATTTGGATTGGGACATATGGATTTAAAGGCGCAAATGGCCGAGCTGCTAAAATCAAGTATTGGGTTGGCGGCACAACATTGGAGGACATTGCCAGATTTAAGCGCGGCGATTTGGACAATAGTTCCAGTTTTAAATCTATCATCAACGATTTTGATAGTAGGATGGATCATATCAATATTCTTGCAGGGTTGCTGAGTATGATGCGTGATACTCTAATCAACAATGCAGGGTGCAGCGAGAATGGCAGGGGCGCAGATATGAAACAACCTTTTAACCATGGTAACTGCGAATCATCCGCCTCGAAAGCCACGCCTGGTTTATTTCCTCCATTATCCAAATCCGCATTGACGGTTGAATGGCGAGATGCTATGAACACTCCAATGATTGATCCGTTTGAAGCGCGTGCTGACATGGCACAACTATTGCCAAGAGCTGTTGGCCATTTTGGAGGATGCCGCTGAGTATTGCCGAGAATTGCTGATCAGGACAGGAACTGAGAGCAGCGAGTCAAGTACAGATGCTTAGTCATTTTTACCATTTTATATTATATTAGTCATTTATCATTTCCATTTTCATCTAAATATTAATTATTATTTTATCAATTGACAATTCATTAATAGTAAAATATATGTTACAAAAGATATAAAAGCAAAGAGAGTATTTATTTCTTCCAATGAGAGCAATTCCTGGTTGCCCGACAGCCACTCCTTTTGTAACCTGTCATGAAGAGAGCATATAAAGGAATGACTGTCGGACAGCGAGGAATTGTTCTCAGAAAAAATAAATATCCTTTCTTGAATTATACTTTGTAACATATATTATATTAATCTGATTGTAGCCGCTGAGCTGATTAGATTCCAAAATACATACATGTAAGAATTAATATGTAATGCGGTGTAAATATGCACCGTCAATATGCATAAAAGCGCCTTTTCCAACTATTAGCCTTTTTCTGGGTCGGTCTTGGAAAAAGCATTGAAAACAATCCAGATTGAAGAACAATCAACAAATCACAATAAAATAAATGAAAAATATAAATTGAGCTTTCTCTCTCACATTGCGCGCTGTGTGTGCTTGCAGTGGCAATGTCCGTGTCATCAGAACATGATGGTCGCAGACCAAGAACAGCAAAAATGTTTTGAATTTGTCCACCTTACCGAATGGCTCTGTGGCTTTTTTGTTTCATGTTTTTTATGCATTAAAAATATCTCCTGTGCGAGCTGCAAAATACTGGCCCGTAGCAGCCACCTCCAACTCTGCACCTTGCACTCCATTTTTTTGCCTAGATGTCGCAAAAAAGGGGTCCCAATTTAATATGCATCCATGTTTTGCTATTATTCTATTTTCAACCATGCGCTCTCTTTGTCTACCTCTCTTACTCATTTTTTGTCGGCCATTGACATTGCTGACACTTATTAAGGAAAAACAACTGCCCATTCGCCCCCTGGTTTTTACAGGGGGTTGTCAACCATTGTTTGATGAAACACGTATATCAACGCCCTCTATTTGTGAAGACCGCAGAGGCAGAAATGGCTGCAGTTTGCTCAACGTTTCGGATGAAATATTTTTTATCCTTTGCTTGTTTTGGCTTTTTATGTGCATGTATCCCAATGTGCAAATGAAGCTTTTAGCTGCTATGATTGATGCGGAACCACCAGAAAAGGGAAAAGAAAGCACAACCATGCCTCGGAGCAACCTCAGCCTTCATTATGAGAAGAAAAGACAAAAGGCAAAGTATTTTATTAGCCAATACAAAAATTATACCAATACCCACCACCCTACTCGCACTACTACCACTGCCAAAACAAATAAAACATATTGCTGCTACTTTGTTCTATTCCGGCTCAGCCTAAACGTGAGCTTGGCAAAAAAATTTATTATTATTTTTATACAAATAGCCACAATTTTTTTGGCTGCAAAAATCTATTCCGACATATCATAATTTTCTGTACACACATGGTCTGCCCGCCAGCTGTCGTGCTCTATAAAAATGTGGGTCTAAATCGATATATTCAAGTCTTAAAAATTACTTAACTGAAAAGGGGCAGCGCTGTGTGGGCAGCGCTGTAAACATCATGGTGTTCCTTGATGTCAGCCAGCAATAACAGAAATGTGTATAGTGGCCATGATGGCGATCTTGATTCTTGAAAAGGGAAGATAGTGGCTTGAAATGTGTGTTGGGCACCACACCAGCGACCGTGGTTTGAAAAAAGCATTGTAAAAGTGACCGCTGATCAATATGTGCATATTTTGAAATATTATAACGGAAATTCGGATATTGCCGATCTTCGAACAATAACATGTGCATGAAAAAGGCATGCTTTCGCCAAAAAACGGAATATACATGCAACGAGAAAGCCCTTTTGAAACTTGCACTCTGCTCCAGCCGAACCTGAAAGAGACGACCCAAGAGTACACATTTTTTGTGAGTAGCAAAAAGAAGCGCATCCATTTTTGCACAGCTCAGCACAGCGCAAAACAAAAGAAGCGCAGGAAAATAAATACCAGGAGTCTCCCGCCTGCTCCTTTCACCGTCTTTCATCCTTGTTTTTTTCCTCCAACATCTCAAGCTAAGCTTTTAACACCACCCACACACACCTCTCTCCGACACCGACACCACCATCACCAACACCACCAGCGCTACCCAAATATCTTGTCATATCGTTATAACTGTGACATCAAAAATGGGAGCTAAGTCACGTGACAGCGCAGACGCATGAAATATATTTGATATTTCACGCGTACAGCGAATTCCGAATAGTGAGGTCTTTAGCTCTTCTCGTAGTCTCATTTCTATTAATATTTATTATAACCAGCACAATCCCTCATTACACAGCCGCTGGCAGTCCCTTTGCCTGCAATGCTGTTCTTGTCTTGGCCCCAGGCCCTGTAAGAATTTCCGTCGGAGAAAACGAGTAGTGATCTTTTTTGGCTGCAATACTCATGACTAGTCTACTCGACTTATCAAATACATTGCAGCAATTGTCGCCAAACACCACCTTGCCTCCTCTGTGGTCAATCTGCCGTACAGATAGCAGATTTGCAGAGGCACCAGGGACATAATAAACATCATTAAAGATGCCATTTTCCCATCAGTGAACTCGTTTGCGCGCATGGTGACTGTGCCCTTGGCCTGAGCATGAATGTCGGCCCCATTGGCAACACAGAATGTCATGTCATCCACCTGTGGTTGCTGCAGAATTCCACTCTCACAGGTGATGTTGCGTGTACAGCCAGAATCCATATTTCATGGCTGATTTGCCAGCCTGACGGTCTGCAGAGCTGCCTCTTTTCCATTCACAAAGAAGATAATACTATTGTGCAAATCGCCTGCAATGTCCCACTCATGCTAATCATTGGTGCCACAACCACTCTGCTCTGCAGGATCCTCACTCCACTCCACCACCTCACTTGGTCCAGTCTGCTTGGGGCATTGTCAATCCTGACAAATTCGACGTCTGGTTTGCCAGGGGACACTCCTTGGTCCAATGAACTTTCGACTTACAGTGGTGGCAATAGCGGCTGATCTCGATGCGTGGCTGTCTTGTCAATGCCTGACTGTGCCCATGCACTGCCATTGCTGCTTGCCTGCCCAGTAGGATGCTCCACTTCCACTGCCATTGCCCAGCATACTTGCCTCCACATTGATCAGCTCTTTGTCGACCTGCTCAGCGTCGATCTCCAAGACTTTTCCGCACATTGCTGCATCAATGGTGTGGTTGAAATCTGCAGGCAAATTGACCAAATAAATAATGTTGACTACTAAGCGAATGGTCACATTATTTTGCTCCAGGAATTCAAGGACCTCCTTGCGTCTGCATGCCATTGAGCGAATGTCACCAGTGTTAGGCACAGATTTCCTTAATAGGCAATGCCCATCAGTCGCCCTTTTCTTTGTGAGTAGAAAGACTCAGCCATAAAAGGGCAAAACAACATTTTATTAGTTCTCCCTCTTCTCTTTTCCTAGTTCTTAGAATATAGTTTTAAGTACGTTTATTAAATTCACTCGTTAACAACCAGTGTACTGCATGTGCACTAGTTCCATGACCAGATTACGAACATCCATGGCTGTCATCACTCCATAATCCTGTTCAAGAGCCGTCCACAGTTCATATGTGTTATGTTATAAATATATATTGAACTAAAATGAACTAAAATAAAGCTAAGGGATGAACAGCCTCCACTGTTCATATTCATTGGTAGTTATGTGTGTGTATGAATTCCCGCATATCCAAGTAGGGAATTAACTATCGATTGATTCATTAATCAATCGCCGGAGACAAGCCGCAATTTCTTGTATCACAATATGGCTCCTTGAACGTGTGATACATGCCAGCAATGTCTGGCTGCATGCATTTGAGCAAAATCCGAACCACCTTCAGCTTGTTGCGGTCTGTCATCTTGCTCGCCTCGGCAGATGTCAGCAGTACTGGCTCCTTCACTGCGTGCTCCAATCCATAGTCGTCAAGGACATCAAGTACCAGCTCTTTCCATAGCTGGTAGTTGGTGCCCGATAAAAGGTTCCCGCTAGCAAGTGGTTGGCTAATGGTCCCAGCAGGGCTCATAACTGTTGGAATATAGGAACGTTCTATGAACGTGTAGATAAACTATAATGATATAAAGTATATTTAATAAATAAGTGCTATGCACTGTGAAAGGTAAAGAGTAGAAAACATATTGCTTTGGTCACTGTGTGACTTATTGTTTGTGTTGCTAAACAGCCAAGACTGGTTAATCAGTTGATTGCCATCAACCAATACATATTCACCAATGTAAGTATAATTTTATCACAAGGAAACTAAACGTACTTGGCCAAAGTGGCCAACTGCACAAACGTGTGCATCGTTATTATGTAATAGTTAGACAAGTTGTTCCCGAGAAACATCTGGTGCACATCGATGTTGGAGTTTGGGCAATGCAGATGTTGGCATCTGGCAGTGGGCGCTCTTTGGCGTTTTGTCTTTTTGAAGCTGTACCTGAGACAAGCTGACAGAATTTACTTGCTTTTCTCCTACATCTAGTAGGTCCATTATGTACTGGATCATATACACATGTTTGGCGCCAAGCTTAATCAGTAATTTGATCTGTCTGTTGGCTTTTGATAGCACACAGTGACTCTGGGAAGTGCACCTGATGGTATTTTGGCTGCTTTTTAATATGCTAGTATTGGTTTCATTCCCTGACTGGCTGCATATATATGTGTATGCATGCTCCATTTATAAAAATGGTGTGTCTAGTCTCAAACGCAAAATTTTGTGGGTCTCAATTGAAAGTCTATGGACAGTTCACTCTTGCAACTACTGACAATGATTAAAATGGCCAGAGTTCACTTCAACAGCAACCTATCGTGCTCTATAAAAATGTGGGTCTAAATCGGTATATTCAAGTCCCAAAAATTACTTTTAAAGGACTGAAAATGGAGCAGCGCTGTAAACATCATGGTGTTCCTTGGTGTCAGCTAGCAATAACAGAAATGTGCATAGCAGCCATGAGGGCAATCTTGATTATTGAAAAGGGAAGATAGTGGCCTGAAATGTGTGTTGGGCACCACAGGTGTCGGCAAACCAATTTTTCATAGTGCCTTTATTATTTTTCTTCTGTCGAATGTGGAGGAAAAAGGCGTCAAATCATCAAAACGCAGATTATTTTTTGACCCTCTATCTTAGGCAGGCGCATTGTCTATTTTTCCACACGATAACAATTGAATTGTTTTTTATTTCACCCCCTCTCCCCATTATAAACAAAAAAGTTGTCAATTTTTTGTTTTCCTCCCGTTTATTCGACGCGTTCAAAAAAAGAGAAAGGTATGGAAGAGAAGCAAATCGAAAAGAGGGATAGTAATTCAACCAAGCAGGTGGTGAATTATTTATGCGACAGTCTTTTTTCTGGCGTAGCAAAAGCTTGATTGGGATTCATGCGGAGAAAAGTAAACAATGGAAAAGTCCCTGTTTGACCGTGATCCCCGCACAGCCACCACCACAAATATGAATGTCAACATCAGCATCTATTGCTGCTGCTGCTACTGCAACTACTACTACTGCTGAGCCCTGCTTGGGGTAGTGCAGCCCAACTGTAATAAAACTTATTCGTACTAACTAATTTCATTAAAAATCCATTATAAGGGAGCTTAAAGAGCTCCACTTATCTATTCGAAACTATCGCCCGTGAAAATAGAAATCGCGATCGTAAACAATCACAATTTCAAACAATCGCAATTTCACAATGGCAATTGTCACGTGACATTGCAATAATTGATGTCACACCAACAGACTGAAAAAGAAGGCATCTTGATAATATAGAAGAGTCGTTCAATTTTTTCCGGGTCAACAAATTTAGATGTTTTTCAGCTGCTTTCTAGATACGCGTCACGAAAAAGGGTAAATTAAAAAGTGACTGGAGATCCATACGCGCACATTCCGAGTCATCCACATTTAGGCAAAAGATATGGAAAATCCAAGTTTGTATTTTTCCCTTTGAACTGCAACGCGTTTTATTATTTTTATTATTTTTGTGCGATTGCCAAGTTGTTAAAATAATTTCATTGGCCATATTTGCTCAAAATCAAAACGTGCATTTTCACAAAACAGCACGAAGCGTCGCAGCACAAAAAATAGGCGACAATAAGGATGCTTGCTCCCTAGAAATAAAAAAGGCATACTCTCACCCACCCTCGCTCCATTTTTTCTTTTCCCTATTTTCCTCCAAAAATACCAAGTTTTCCTCTCCATGCCAATCTTGTCAAATAACACTTGTTACTTGCGCTCATACCCGTACTCCATTTTGGACTTGCCCAAACCCAAACTCTTCTTTGCACCCGCTTAAACTCGAACTGTTTTCACTTGTCTTTTTGACACACCGCCGCTACTCTTTATAAGTTAAATACTAAGTAAAAAAAACCTAAAAGGGTAGAAAATAGCAACAAATTTTAGCTTTCCATTTTTCCATTTTTCTTTATATTTTATCTATTATTTTTATTTCCATGTCCTTCTTCAAGGCTGCAGCTCTCAAGATGAGCGCTGCTACGCATCTCCCTGCTGTTGCTGCCTGTGGCCAAGCACTTACCTCAACCCCCAAGTCTCGTGTGCTTGTGCACAAGTAGCGCGTTACTCGCGAGATCCTCGAGGCTGTGACATGCAAACTCACTTCAACTCGTGCGTGCCTCGACAGCACCAGCGCCAACCTCACAGACTCCCACGCTGAGGCGGCTATTCTACACCATGAACTTGCCATGGCCTGCACCCAGCTCACTGATGCTCACTCTGAGCTCGATTTGTTCCGTGCTGAAGTGGCTTCTCTGCGTGGCAAGCTTGCTTCTTCCAACGCCAAGGTGGAGGTTCTCCAAAGCGACCTGACCTTTTCCCATGCCAACGAGAATATTCTACATAACGAGCTTGCCTCCTCCCGCGCCATGGTTGATGCTAAGAGTCGCGAAAACACCATTGCGCTTCGCATGGCAGCTGCCGCTGGCTCTCTTTTTCTTTTGACCTGCACAAGGTTGACCACTCTGCGCGGCACTCTTTCATTGTCTCGCAATGAGGCTGTGCATTTTCGTGCGCGCCTTGAATTGTCAACTGACAATGCAAACAATATCCTCGAGATGGTTACTTCCACTCGTACCAAAGTGGTTGGCCTGCGCAATAAGCGTTCTTCAAAAGACTTAATGATCAGCACTCTGCGGGACAATATGGACATAGCTTATGCACAGGCCAACGCCACTCACAGCAAGGCCGATATGTCCTACAACATAATTGAAACTCCGCCGTGAACTGAACTTGATGAAAAACGAGGCGGACAATATGCAGACCGACTTTGCCACACCCGGCTTTACGATTGACACCTTACAGAACAATCTCAAATATTATCATACCAAAGCAGCCACTTTAAAGCGCAATCTCGAATCTACACGTACCGAGACAGACACTGTGCAGAAAGATATTAATTCCACTCGTGCTGAGACAGATACTTTGTAAAGCAAGCTCAAGGATACTCGCGCCGAGGTACATACTTTGCAACGCATCCTCGAGTCTGCTCGCGCTGAGTTGGACACTATGCAGCACGGCCTGAAGTATACTTGCGCTCAGGCAGACACTATGCGGCGCAACCTCAACTCTTTTTCTGCCGAAGCGGACACTTTGCGGTGCAGCCTTAAAAATACTTGCGCCGAGATGAACACTGTGCACAACAACCTCGCCGCGGCGAACTCAACAATTAACACTTTCCGCTGCAATATTGCCACTGCCCGTGCCCTGAGCGGCCAACCCTGCATCAGCTCCAAGGCGCCGCGTAGCAAGGTTGCTACCTTGCGCTGTGTTTTCAAGGCAATAGATAAAAAGCAGACGCCGGGCACAATGGGACTATCGCAATGGCTGGGCTGGCTACACCCCCCGGTGCGACGCCTGATATAACTAGCAGACATATGGAGGCTCTTCGCAAGAAATTGGCTGTGAAGTGCCCTGAGCTTTTCGCTCTTCTCCAATAAGTGAACGACCCTTGCAACTCAACGAGCATACCCAGTGATAATCTTGCATAAAGGCGTACGCCTGAGGAGCTTGCCCAGCAAGAGGCAAGAATTCTGCACATGCTCTTAGTTAGGCCCAAACCATTCTAGCGATCCACCCAATTTTATTCAATGTAATTATTACTTTTTAACAAATAAATATTTTCTTTCCCTCGAAAAATTTTGAAAAAAAATAAAACGAGAGCAATCTAAAACAATAAAGTTTTGCAAGCATACAAATGTCCTTACACTTTCTCGATATAGCGCAGATAATTATGCTGCAATGCGCTGCGTAACAGAGAAAAGCTGAGCGGTTAATATACGCTTTTGGTTTAATTTACTCGTTTGAGCCTACTCTAGGCCATTTGTGATTGCTATCATTCTGTCTGTCAAACGATCCAAAGCCAAACTATCTCTTTTCATTACTAATGCTAAAATAGTATGTATTACACCTTACACTCGCTATATATTGAATGCTACTTTTCCTTTGTAAATACTACAGCGCAGCTTCTGTCTCAGCCACCATGTATGGAGCAAGCAAGTTGTGCGCGCACATAACCACAGCATACGCGCTGTCTTCGGGATGCAAACTGCGTAGCTCATTGGATACCTCGACTAGGACGCGGTCGGCAAACTCAGCCTCTGCCGGCAAGCGCCACGCACACTTATTGACCATCACAGTGTACAACGCATCGGCCTCCTCCCTGCTGTGCTCCTCCGCGTAAAGATCGTGAATTCCAGCGGCAATTGCCTGCACAACGCGCACTACCAGCCAAGCCGCTCGCTCAGTTTCCAACGGCATAGTCAACGCAGCCGGGTACACGGCCAGCGTGTTTGCCAAAACCGGCAGCGTGTGTGGACTATCAACAGCATCCATCAAAAGATCGCACAACATAATGCGCACGCGCTGGACGTCACCAGCAACAAGACTGAGCGCTGCAAAAATGCGCGCCAGCGAGCATGTTGTGGCCGGCGATGACACTGGCGACACAATGCTCTGGGCCATATGACGCATCAGCGAGGCAAAGAAGCTGCCCTGTGCGTTCTTGAAACACAGCGTCCAGATGCATGTTACCGCAGAGGCCTCGATGGCGTGCAGTACCGATGGCTCACTGGGCGGCAAGAGGCGGCGCGCAAGGGGAGTAGCGGATGCGTATGCCAGGAGCTGCCGGTGAAACTCAGCGACGTCCAGCACTGGCATATCGCCAGTCATCCCGAGCAGCGCAGCCTCGAGCTCCTGTGGCGACTTTTGCAGCAGCGAGAAAAAGCGTTTGGCGCGGTTGGCGCCATTGATGCGCTTGTCGCGCAGAACGCGCTCCATGGCCTCGGCGTCGTTGGCTTCGGCTACGGGCTTGGCACCCTTTTCGGAAGGAGTGGACGCTGCCGTCACTGTCGACGCTGTGTCGGCCACCCCGTTCTTGTGCCGCTTGGCTCCCACAACGCCGGCCAGTTCAATCTCATCAGCAAGAGCGGCAGATGCTGGCTGCATACGCCGCTTGGGAGCAGGCACAGGCTGTGGCAAAGGCTGTAATGGATGTGATGGCTGTGGAATGAGCTGTGATGTCGCTATCGATGGCGATGTCGATGTCGATGGCAAGGGCTGTGATGTCAGTGTTAGTGTAAGCGGAGCTGGCTGAGAAACCTGGCCAGTGCCCCGCAGTTGGCGGATAGTAACTTGCTGTTCTGTGACCAGCTCCAGCAGTGCTGCACGCTCTTGCTGAAGCTTGGTGGTGCGCGCCCGCAGCGCTGTAAGATCGGGGCTCTTTAGCGACAGTGCCGCAGCGGCCGCTGAGCTATGTGCAGTTTGTGCGTGGCGCAGGCGCATTGGGCGCTCACTGGCAGCTTCGCGTGCAGCGGCCAGCTCGCGCTCCAACGCTCCCACGCGCTGGTCGCGGGTGCTAAGCGCGGCCTCAAGCGAAATGACGCGGAGGTTGAGCTGTGCGACTGTTGTGGTGACCGAGGCATCGTCGGGCGACGCTGACGAGCGCAGCGCAGCCTCCAGCGTGGCCACAGCCTGCGTGCGCTCGTCCAATGCAGTCTGCATCTTGTCGAGCTCTGTCTGCAACTCGGCAACGCGGCCGCGAGGGCGTCGACCCTCGGGATTCTGCTTGCGCTCAAGCTCCATGACAAGCACCTCCTGGCGGCGGATGGTCTCGTTTTTGTGCACGGCGTCAGCGCGTAGCGAGGCCACCTCAGCGCGTAGCTCGGCGATATCCATAGCGGCGACGTCCTCGGTGGCTGCCAGCACAGCTTCCGCCGCTGTGGCCGTCGACTTTGGCCGCGGTTTGGGACGCGCGCGGGCAGCCTCTCGCGCCTGCGCCTTCAAGCGCTCCAGCTGCGTTTCTAGATCAGCAACGCGTTTCTCATCCTTCTTTGCTGCGCGCGCCAGGCGGCCAGCCTCGGCGCGATGCTCAGCAGCCGAGACCTTGGCGGCATCCTCGAGCGAGCGCACGCGGCCCTGTGCGGCGTCATGCTTGGCAGTCATTTCGGCAAGCGCAGCCGTGAGGTCGGCGACCTGGTCCTCCAGCTGCGTCGTGCGCATGCCCAGGTCCATCTCCATCTGCATCAGCCGCTCCTGCTCCTGCTCCAGATCGGCCTCGCGCGACGCCAGCGACCCGCGGTGCTGCGCCATCTCTTTCTCTTGCCGGTTGATCAGCTCGGCCTGCTCGCGCGCGTACCGCGCCTGGATGCTCATAATCTCGGCTTTGGTTGACGAGCGGATGGCGTCGCGCGAGATGCGCAGCGACTTAAGCGAGCCCTCTTTGGCCTCGACCTCACGCCTCAGCCGCTCGATCTCCTCGCCCAGCGCCGCGTCTGGTGCTGGAACCGGCGCCACCTGCTCCACCGCCGGCGATGCCTGTCGCAGCTCGCCCACCTGCGCCTCCAGATCCTCCTTCTGTCCGCGCACGCGAGACAGCTCAGCCTCGCGCTGCTCAACCAATGCCCGCGCCGTCGCTGTCTCCGCGTTAGCCTTGGCCAGCAGCCGCGCCCGGTTGTCAGCCTCGCGCTGCACCGTTGCTGCCGCTGCGGCCACCCGTCGCGCGTCATCTTGCGCCTTTGCAACCTCAGCTTTGGCCTTTGTAAGCTCCTTTTCCTGCTCGCCAAACACCTTCAGCAGCCGGCTTGTGTTGACCACTGCCTCTTTGAAGTGTCGGATATTTTGCGCAGGAATGCTAACCAGCTTGTCTCCGTCCATTTCGGTGCTGTCTGTGTCTGCGGCGACTGCTGTGGTCGGCGTTTCTATTGTATTCACTGCGCCTGTCTTCTCCATTGTATTGACTGCGTCTGTCTTCGGCTCACTGTCTCTGGGCGCCTCGCTCGACGGCCTGTCGCCTGCCTGCGATGCCGTGGATGAATTCCGTTGTGTCTGCTGTTTTGTGGCTATGTTGGTGTTGGAGTTTGCTGTTGAATCAGCCGTCTTGGCTCGCGCCCGCGTGCTGACATTCATACTTTATGTGGGAACGTCGCGCTTGCTCCAATTTCAAATGAATTTTGGCGTTGAATCCAGGGTCGTTATGTGAATAACAAATATATAATAGGAGTATGTATTTAATTGAAAAGGTTTGACAAAAAATTAATGAAGGAAAGAATTCAACCCTTTAAAATAAAATAAAAAAAGTAATTCGTAAAAAAAATTGCAGAAAATTTTTTTGGTAATAATAAAAGAAGAAAATTCAAACGCGATCTGCGTTGCCTTCCCACAACACCACCGACCATGCTTTGTGGAGAAACCTCACGCGTCGCAATCATGCTCTCACAAACAAAAATTAAATAATAAAAACCACACTCACCCAATTTATTTATTTACCTTCCTTTATTATCTTTTTTTTGCACATCACTTTCTCTCTTTTTCTTTTTCTCTCATTCATCTATCCATTATTTTGCGCTCACCATGTTCCAGCAAAAGCACAAACATCCGAAGCAACACAAGCACACAGCCATGAGCCGCGAACTCAACTCGCTCTACCTAGAGAACCACACAGTTCCAGTTCCACTCGCAGACCTATTCCAAGCCAAGCCCAAATTCGACACCAAAGCCGAGCGTTGGACCTGGCGACCATTCAAAAGCAGCGCTCGCACCGACAACCTCACACTCTCCCACTGGGTCAAAAGCAACGAAAAATACACCGACTACTACTACGCCCGCTATAACGCCAAAACACAACCCTACCAATATACGGATTTGGAATACGACAAATGCATAGCGCCGTTGGATGCCCGGTGGAGCAAAGAAGAGACAGATTATCTTTTGGTGCTTTGTCGACAATTCGACCTGCGCTTTATTGTTGTGCACGATCGATATTATGTGCACCCGGATAGGCCGGCGTGCGTGAATGCAGATGCAGCAGGAGAGGCGGTGGCGGCAGGGGATAGACCCTTGAGGTCATTGGAGGATCTGAAGGACAGATATTATTCTATATGCCGGGCGTTGACAAAATACCGCGCAGGGGAGGATTCTCGCGACCCCGACGACCTCCCACTGCAGGCCACCAATAAGTTAGCCGACGACCTGGCCCTTCTGGGTTTCGATGGGGACAAGGAGCGCGAGCGCAAGCAGTATCTCGAATTGCTGTTCAGTCGCACAAAAGAGGAGATCGAGGAGGAGGAAATGTTGATTGTGGAGGCTCGTCGGATTGAGTCAAATGAGAGAAGGCTGATTCATGAGCGCGAGGCCATGCTGAACTACCATGCGCTATTCGAGGAAGCACCATCATCGGCAACTATTCCATCGGTCAAGGTACAGTTCACACAGGCGGAGACTGTGTCTGCTGCTGGTTCATCGGCAAACGGGCAGCCTGGATCCGCAGCCGCTCCTGCATCGGCGTTCGCTGCTGCTGCTGCTGCTGCCAGCGCTGGGCCTGATTCGGTCACATTGCCAAAAGTGCGCAAGGGCGCCCCGGATGCCATTGGGGTTGATGGTGGTGCGAGTGTGCGGCCCATGAAGAAGCAAAAGTCAATTCATGGGTCGCCACAGCCTACGACTCCAGTCACGCCCAGAGTCAAATCTACCGCGGCGGCGGCAGCAGCAAACAAGGCGTCAGCAAACAAGGCCGCGCTCGGCGTCTCCGTGGCCTCAACTGACTCAGTGTCTGCTGCGCGCGGATCTTCGGTCGTCCGAAACTCCATGTCGCCTAGCCGCGCCGCCTCCGTAGGCATTGTCAAGCAGGAACACCTGGACGGACCCGTACAGTTTGGCCCAGTCACTTTTTCCACTGAAGACCACCTGGTTAACCCCGCCATTATTCAAATCGACACGCCCGAGACCGGCCCGATTTTCATCGCACAGCGCGACGCGCGGCTTGGTCCCGGCGTCTTCTTGCGGTCCGATAAGCTGTTCCCGATTCCCAAAAATAAGCTGGAGGCTGTTAAGCAGTTCATGACGCAGCTGGATCTCAACAGCCCTAACACCATCTGGCCACGCCCGGTCATGGCTACCGCCGCCGTGTGCGATCGCTTCGACACTTTGCAGACCACCATTATTCCGCTGCTGGACTGCAAGAAGGTGGCAGATAAGCTGGAAACTGAAATCCAGGTGTTGCGTGCGCGGAAACGCATGCTTATGAATGACGTGGGCGAGAGCAGGGCGGAGGAAATTATAAAGAAGCTGCCGCCCATTGATCCATCGATGATTGCAGCGATACGCGCGACCACGCCGTCAACGCCGACGATTGACTCTACGCCGGTGGCTGCCAGTCGGCATAACCGCAAGGGCAGCACTACCAGTAGCCGCAAGAAGGCTGCCCGCGAGTAAAGCGTAATGACAAAGGTTATTTTCAACAAATTTAAATTTTTATTAAATCTATTTAAAAGATACTGTTTTTAGGAGGATGGATGGTTGTACAAGTTGCGAAGGGGAGGGAGTTTTGCAGCGATGAGCTGCGGCAATTATAAAAAGGAAATGTGTAAAAAAGATCAGAAACTGGTGTATGCGGAGATGAGGATATATATGTAAATTGCTTCCTCAGTAATAGAGAATGCAGGGAGTGGTGGATATTTTGGGTCAGGCTCGTCTGGTTTTATCTAGCCATTAAACGAGCCAAGGCAACTTTTTTGTTTAAATTTTTTTTGAGAAAGAGCCCTCTCTCTCATTCCGATACCTGCGCCATCAGCGCCTGACGCTCAGCGAGAATCTTCGACACAACCTGCTCCATACCAAGCTTCCCCACATGCGCGTTATCCTTGAACCTGTTCCAGCACATATCCTCAACCTTATTCGCCAACCGGTACAGCGCCGTACTCGCCTTAACCTGCGCCGACTGCGTGAACATCGTATGCCTGGGGTTCTCCGGATCAGGCTTATAAACAATATGCTCGCCAACCGACAAAAGGTTGCTAAAAGTCATATTCTGGCTTTGCATAACCATTGTCTGCTGCGCTGGATCCACCTCGGAATACTCCAGAACGTACGAAGTGTCGCCGCCAAAGATCTTGCGCACCAGTGTGGGCACGTTCTGAGTCACCATTATAAGCCGCTCGGTGCGCAGGATGCCTGTGTTTTCGTCAATGTCCTGGTTGAGAATCTCCACGTGCCGCACGTGCGGTGTCTTGTCGTTAGGGTACTTGCGCCAGTTGGCCAGGCTCACTGTTTCCCAGTCGTGTTTGAACACGTGCGTCGCCTCAAAAAGCCTCATTTGTTCGGAATCAGAAAGACCACTTTAGCAATTTGTGTTTGAATGCAAGAGAAAAGTGAAATGGCAGAAGTGAAAAAGGAAACAAACGAAATTTCAAGTTGAAAGAAAAAGAACTAAAGGAGCAAAGCGAACAAAATGAATTGGGAGGGGAAGCTTCCTTTTATCAGCAACGCTCGAGGAAAAAAGAAAAAGATTAAAGGAAAATTTTGTTATCAGGCATTAATAGCCGCCACAAAAATGGAGTTGAACTTGACAGTGGGAATGCGGCAAGTGTGATTTCTTTTTTTTGTTGGGGGCGAATGTGAATTGCGAGTTCCGCTGTGGGACGGGATCAGCACTGCATTGCACTTTTTTTTTGAGATTTTGGTGCCAAGCGCCAATTGGCCAAAAGTCACTGGCACTGGGAAAAAAATTGAACTCTGAGCTCTGGTGTATCGCACACTAATCACGTGAAACAGAAGAGCATCGATGAAAAACCCCGCGGCCACTGCCAAAAATGCATGTGCACCTAGCGGCGCAACAGAATCGGCCTGTATCGTTTGACAACATGCGGGTGTCCAATGGACCATTCATCATTCGCCAATGAATGAGGTTTCATATGCAGGCTGCGGATGCATAACTGGACCATTTACCCACTGGGAACTGCTCACACACCAACTTAAATAATGCGGGGATATCTCTCCAAGTGAAATCAAATTATTTTACATATTGCTTGCTATCTTAAAAATGCTAAAGATATTGCTCAACATGATAATTCCAAACAAGTTAAATACTAATTTGACAAACAGGGATATCGAGTGCCCTATGTGTCAAATATATTTTTCCTGTTTCAAATTACATCAAGCATGTTTATATATATTTGGTCCAGTTGTTTTTTGTATTGGCAAAATCAAAACTTTGTAGACAACATATGTTTGTCCGGTTACATTTGATCAGAGTCAACCAACATCTTGGCTATACCAAAATACTAATTCACAACCACGCGCTCATTGATCCGGCCTGTGCAGAACTAAAGTCATCATCACCATCGCCATCATTAGTATTATCATAATCACACTGCTACCCTATGACAAACAAAATGATTGAGGATACTGTCCATTCAATATTAAGGACATTAAGTACAACGCAACGCAGCACAACGACAAGCAAAAACGAAAACCTTATCATAGTAAAACCCGGTCTTATTTATTCATATTATATTGTGAGTATGCTTCCATTTTCTTCATTCTCTTACTCTCCCCTGATCTGTGATATGTGAATCAGGCGATTTGATTCGTCAACCCAGAAAACCTTCTCGAAGCTCACAGGAACCCTTTCTTTATTTTGTGCCTTTGTGTTAATTTCTAGAAAAAGAACTGTGGCCGCAAAGGTCAATTTTTCAATTTCCCACTTTTCACTTTCTTTCTTTCTCTATTTTTTTGTATTACGAATTTAACCTTTTTTATTTTCTTATTTTTATACATTTAACAATGACAGCTCCGCCACTGGTACTTCAATGGGGTCGCGAACGGTACATGCTCAAGTACGATGAGAATGACATGCGGGACACAACGCTCGGTCAATTCAAGGAGGTCTGTCGTGAGGTCACAGGCGTGCCCAGCAACGGAATGAAGCTTATTTTCAGTGGCGGTAAGTATAACTTTGCAAAATAAGAAAATCTGGTATTTGGTTGTTTATATATTTACCTATTTTCTGCGCGCATAAGCTAAAATACTTTTTTATTTATTTCCTGTAGCTACCATGAAGGACGATTCATCTCCTCTGTCAAATTATGGAATATACCCGGGGGCCACAGTGAAGCTGATCGGCAGGAAGGAGGGCGCAGAAAATAGTGGGCCAGTAACGGAGGAGGAGCGCAAAGAGAGCGCTTTGATCCACAAAATCGACGACATCGCCAACCACGCGACCGACGTTCTCTCGTCACGCATGCAAGCCTACCTCGCAGACGCACAGCTCTACGTGGACCAATTCCTTTCCGGATCCATGGATGGACTGCATGGGGAAGCGCTGAATGAGATCAAGGCTAAGGAGCGCAAGAAACTTAACGACGCGTACATGTTTATTAACGAAATGCTTATGCAATCCTTGTTAAAGATTGACTCGCTAGACTGTCCGCCGGAGGCGGAGAAGGCAAGACAGCGTAGGCGACAGGTTGTGAGGATGCTGCAGTCGTGGATGGACCAGATGGACCACAAGAGAGATAGCGTCAAGCAGGCTGAAGCAACGATTTCGCAATAAAAATACACACAAAAATTATAAAATATTTTTATTCTTTGCGCCACACAATTTCATCTTTTTTATACTTTGTGCTCAGTATTTTTACATTCAATTCATTTTATTTCTTAACTGCTTTGTCTGATGTATTACAACAATAATTGAAAAGGAGCAGTGGGTTTTGTTTAGCCATATCAGCCAGTGTTGGCGGTTGCGAAAACTAGATCAGAACCGTGCTCAAGGGCGTCCGTCGGCGGGTTATTGCCAGCACTAGCCCACTGGCCGACGTCATCGCTCGAAAGCGTAATCCTACACGTCGGGCACGAAAGATGACGCACCAGCCAGGACCTCAAACACGAGCGATGAAACAAATGCTCACAGGGCAGTTTCTTTGCGGTCATCAGCACCTCGCGACAAATTGAGCATCGGTCATTAAACCGCACAATATCCTCCTTCGTGGCATCCGGAAACTGACACTTCATGCTAGTAACAGCGTTACGGAACGCCGCCAGCTTGCGTGATTTGCGATATAGCTTGCTCGCGATACTACGTAGATTAAAAAATACCATGGCACTTACAATATTCAACGACAGGCCGTTGATCAGCAGGATATGTGTGTAGTGCAGGAGTGTGAGAACCAAAATGCACATGTCTGTGGCAAACTCGCACAACAGCACGGCGTCAGAACGCGCTTCCCACGACTCGGTCGCCATGGTATTATTGTTATCCCAGGCGTACACAATGTATTTAGTCAGGGTTTGGCCGACATCGAAGAGGATGGTCAGGGCTTCGATGCAGAGGATGCTGAAAAGGGGGCGGAGGAATGTCCAGCTGAGGATGCCTAGACTGATTGCCGATGCGATAAGCACGCAGAGTAGGGCGACAAAGCCCCAGCGAATATTGGATTGGACCGGTGACATCCGCAGGCCCTCTAGATGGTCGCGCGCTAGGCCACCGACCAGGTATAATGTTCCAAAACAGCAATATGCCGCGGTCCATATGGCTAGGTCCTCCCAGTCGGCATCCAGAGTCGCTCTGACCGACACCACTTTGAACAATACAAAGTTCAAGATGCGATCGTACGAATGCTACAGAAGAAAAAAAGAATGGGTAATAATGGATTTTAAAATGCAATATAAAAACATGAAAGCTTGGGCCCAGCCATGCTTCAACAAGAACATAAAAAATAGAGGATTAATCACTTACATGGACTTCATTCATCGCAAGCCTCCCGAATATCAAATTTATCAATGCCTTTCTCGCCAAAGACACCACCGCCACCAACGCATTAGCTAATCCCAGCATATGCCACTTATTCGACAGCAATGTGCCCAACATCCAACTAACGTTGCACCAAAGATCCGGCGAATAATGCTTAACCGTAAACGTATCCCTATAAGCCATCGTCCCTGAAATATCAGCTAATGTACCCCCACTGTTATGGTGATGGAGGACCATTTGTTGTGATGATTGTGATAAGTCAAGTGCGCACTTGCGTTTGAACTCGTTGATTGTCCACTGTGGTCCGCTGTTGTGTACGAAAAGCCCGATGAGGGTGGCGACGGCAACCACAGCGTAGGCTGCGTCAATGAGCAAAGGTCTGGTCATTACCAACAGAAAAATAAAAAAAGCTTGGGAATGTTAATGTAAATTCAAATTTCGAGTTAACCGGTTTTATATTCTAACAGCCTTCTCTGAGTGTAAAAAAAGGTGTAGTAAGGAATATTGTTTTTACGTAATACAAGTATAAAGTATAAAATGGGTGTATGGGTTGTGTTTGGTAAAGAGTACAAAAAAATTACATGTTAACAAAAAAAGAAGCCGAGGAAAAAAGAAGCAGAAAAAAGAAGTGCGATATTTTGGAGGTACAAAATAAAAATAATAAAAAAAGGCAAGTGCGACTTGCATTTTTGATTCAATCAGAAAAATGCATGTGACGCAAACAGTGGTGCATTAATGCACTTTTTTTCCTCTGCTAATTGCAATATCTGATTGAGCTGTCGGCGCATTCTCGGGTGCAACAAGAATGAAAAAATATATTTTGGTATATTTTTTAAGGACGAGAATACAATTTATTCTACTGCTTCAGAATAGAACATATATTGTTTTAAACTTGCTCTGTGGATATGCGCATTGAAGCAATAAATTCAAGTACACCCCCGCTGCCTCTGGGCATGCCAGGGGAGGTATATTCGATGTGACAAAGAAAATAGAGCGAGTCACATAATATAATATAATATCGTTGAGGTTGTTGCGCAGACTGAAGATATGGAAGTGGATGTTGAGGCAAGAATCGCGAAACAGGTTCAACCTGCGCGCTGATCGATAGGACACTAATTGGATAACGCAGGCGTAAATCAGGGAGGCATTACATTGATGCCCAAACATGCTCCCATTCTGCAATGCACACGCATGAGCGTACACGCACGAAAACAACAACATTGACTTGCCAAGATACAGTCTACTCGCAGAAGATCCAGTTCTCACCAACGAGCGCACAATGGACAATGTGCACAACAAGGCGACGGCACATATATAAGATGAGCTGCCCTAGTAGTACTTAGAAACATCAGTAATAAAACTTTTATAAAATCACCCTAACTTTAACACTAGGCAACGAGTGCTCCCACACCCCCTTACTATAACAAGGTTGTATGTGTCGGCAGATAGTCATTAATAGCAGTGTCATGTGTGTGTTCAGACTTGACTTGCTGGTAAGCGCGCGCGTTGTCCTTGCTTTGCTCAATAAGTTGATCAAGTTTCTTGTACAGCCTGACATTATCTACGGTAAGACTTCAATTTGCTGCGTAAAGTTAAATAGTGGTCATGTAAGCTTTTAAGTTGCTGCAGGCCTAAAGAATACAAAAACACAAACATCGCAGTTTTCGAAAAATAATAATTGCACCACGTTTTATGATTTTTCTGGAGTCATAAATGAATCGTGTGGTTGTGAGTACTGTGTTTCTTTGAGTAAGCTGTGAAACAAAAGATTTAGTAATGTAAATAGTAAGCCAACTATTTACATTACCAGTTGAGTGCTTTACAAACAAATTTTTAAACTTTAAAAATTACATTATTCGAGTAGTTGAGCTAGTGTTGTTAAATTTTTATTAATATAATTATTTTAGTTACATTTTCTGAACTAGTCATTTTAAGCTGCGCCTCTTGCGTGTTACTAGCAATTTCGTCATATCTATAGATCCCGATCGGACAAATGACATGACGCCCACTCCAACGCGTGATTATTCCTATTCTGCTATGTTAATTTTTCTCAGTTTATTTTATAATACCAACCAAATCTCGGCTGCTCGTGGGTAAATTGAAAGAAAAGAAGCAGCAACAACAACAAATGCAAGCAAACAACCATGCGAATAATAATTGCAGAATCGCAATTTTTCAAACATATATAATGCTTTCTTCATGTCATTCATGTCTTCTATCCGACATCGACAAAATGCAAACATCCGCTGGTAAAAAAGCATACATCCCTGCTTGGCATCCTTGCTTTTTATAGACCAAGCAAATCAGCCCGCCTATCTGCCAGCTATAGTCCGACCTTTTGTTTGTATCAGTACTCCCTCACTACGCACCCCTTTGCGCACTCTTTTACCTATGCTCATGATGGTATTACTTGCTACTTATGCATTATGTAGCTCGCTTTGGCTCTCTTGTCTTCTGTTTGCCGCTTGTTAACCCGACCTTTTTGTTACTTCATTCGGACACTCATATTTGCCTTCCTGATAGGACCCTTCTGCCAGTCCCCAGCTTATCTTACGCCTATATCAATTATTCCTTGTCAGCTTGTGGTTATCCTCCATCACAAGCGTAGTCATATATATGCGCACTGCTTAATCTCTTTCCTGGTTACAAGCAAGCGTCTTTTTTGTTAAACATCTGTTGAGCGATGGCCCAGTATTTTTTACAGTATTTTTCCAAATAAATTGAATTTCCAATAAAACGAACGCGACGAAAAAAGGGAGACCAGGCCATATTGAAAAGAGAGACATCCCACAGAGCCTTGGTCTAGTCAGATTTTGTTTATTGAAGAGTCCGATATCTCAACTTTTCTCCTCCCGCTAACAAAATTGAAAAAGCACATCACAAAAACAGCAACATCATTACCGCTTCACTCACATTCCTACAGCCAGTAGGAGCAACAGCAATAACACCAGGGATAAATAATTATAAAAACTGCTTTGGCCTGATCGGATTAAACCAATCAAATTTGCGAATCCATTAGTTTCTTTGGGATTTTTTAGACCCAAAGCTTGGAAAAACAGCAGCAGTGGCCAACAAAATGCGAAATTTGCAATTTTGCTGACAGTTAGGCACTGTGCGCGCGGCATCGCTCGGCGGGGGCTCTCTCTCCTTTCACCCTGTGTTCATATAAACGCGATTGATCTCCTTTTGTGAGTTAAAACATTTACTGTCGTCTCGTAACAACACATACTCTAATAATAAACATGTCTATCGCTGAGAAGGCCATCGTCTACGCCACCCTGATCCTTGCCGACGACAACGTCGCGATCACCGTAAGTACCAACAGCGTTTGAACGATGGATGCGCCATTATTGAAGAAGTATTTGGATTCAGACAACGGATACGCGGGGCACAAATTGCAGACACGTTGGATTCGCTTGCGCAATTGGATACATATTTATTAGGCGAAATGCGCAAATTCGAAATTTTGTTGAAGCTTGAGATTTGCAGAATCGAGATTTTGAATTTTGCGCACAGCCAGAGTGTGGCAGAAACAAATTACAGTTTGTTTTGCTGCGGCCATTGCAGCAGCCAATTCCAACGTTTGCGAACAATTTTTTATTCAATTCGGCGTTCTGAATCGGCACCAGATTTCTGCACAGTACACAAACGAAATGCTTTTTTACAAGGCATTATGTACAAAAATGGACAGTCGGCGCTAATTACAACCCCAATTCAATTTTTGTGCATAAATTTGTACTTTTTTACTTTAAATTTGTAGGCCGACAAGCTTGAGGCTATCACCAAGGCTGCCGGTGTTGAGGTTGAGCCCATCTTCTTCAGCCTGTTTGCCAAGGCCTTTGACGGAAAGGACGTCAACGAGCTCCTGCTTAACGTTGGTGCCTCCGCTGGTGCCGCCCCCGCTGCCGGTGCCGCTGCCGGTGGTGCCACCGAGGCTGCCGCTGTTGAGGAGAAGGTTGCTGACGAGGAGGAGGAGTCCGATGACGATATGGGCTTCGGTCTTTTCGACTAAGTTTTTTAGCCCATTGAACCGCTTTTATTCCAAAATGCCCGGCTTCTTCGGTATAATAAATTTGTTCCCTCGAAACATACTATATTTATTTTGAAACAAAAAATGATTGTTTGCTCCACGCTTAGATGTGTACAGCTAATTTGTGGCCGCATTAAAATTGGCATGGCAGATAACTTGATTTGCTCGATAAGAGCACATTTTAAATGGTCAAAGTGTTAAAAGTGGAAATAGGTTTTCAATATTTACTGATAACTGACAAACCCCCAATTGCTACGACTAAATGTAGCCATTATGATGAAATGTCAAGTTACCTTGAACCAAAAAAGACTAGATTGTATCAGCATTATGGATAAATAAATATTAACAAGCCACATTTCCAATTTTGAAATATCAATTAACCTGCACACAATTTGCTTTTAATTCAAGTTCTAGATAATAACACTATCGCCTTTCTAAAAATAGTTTACTAAATGTTGAAGCAGCCACCAAGCAGTTAACTCGATATGCAATCGCAGCTGTCCATACGTTATCGTGGGGTGAATAGACAAATTGACAAAGCGAGTGACACCTATCAATCAAGCATTTTTATCCAGGCTTTTTGCTCTTTAAAACTTTCAAATTAAAAAACTAGCAATTTTAAAGTCTAATAACATCAATGTCAGCCCCAGTTACTAATACTTTAGACAGCACTCGCAAGCTCATGCAGCACGTCGTCGAGCGCAAGAGCTTTGACGCCTATTGCTTTGAAAACATAAGTTAATCATCCCACTGACAGCAACATTGCTAGTCCAATGGACTTCACTGACCAACACATCTACTCAAAAGCTCATTCACTCATTTCTATATTTGACTTAGATGAAGCTTCTTTCGGCCGATATCGGGCGAGTGCGCGGCGAGATCCCAATCACCAAGGGTTATCTGAACGCCATTGGAGGCATACACGGTGGATGGCTCTCAACACTGGTCGACGTCGGCGGTTCCTTGGCCATTGTGTCGTGCTCTATAAAAATGTGGGTCTAAATCGATATATTCAAGTCTTAAAAATTACTTAACTGAAAAAGGGGCAGCGCTGTGTGGGCAGCGCTGTAAACATCATGGTATTCCTTGATGTCAGCCAGCAATAACAGAAATGTGTATAGTGGCCATGATGGCGATCTTGATTCTTGAAAAGGGAAGATAGTGGCTTGAAATGTGTGTTGGGCACCACACATTGCATCTCATGGATTCCCGACTACTGGCGTGTCAACCGACTTGTCGGTGTCATTCTTGGCTGCATCTGGCAAAGGCAGCACTGTTGTTTTTGATGCGCAAGTGTTCAAGATGGGGCGCACGCTGGCATACACCAGGGTAGACATCTTTAGCAACGACAAGATGATTGCTACTGGTAGTCATACAAAGTTTGTGGCCAGGGAGACAGCAGTTGCCGCTGGATCTGTCAAGAAAGCTGGCGAGTAAGAATGCAATACTTTTTAAGGTGTACATTCCCTAACGTTGGCATCAGCGGTCAATGCATATATTTGAAATAATTCAAGACTAAAGACGTAAAATAGATAATAATGGACAAGAAAATTGTATGTTTGTCAACACGGATATAAAGATGCAATTAATGACTAATTGGTCCGCCCATCTGGGATGTTTACTTCTGGCACCTTTACTTGAGCAGCAGATGCAAGCCTAAATGCAGGAGTAGATACAGTCGCAGAAAGAGTCTCGGACCCAGAAGAAGGAGCAGAAACAGCAGCGGAGTATTTGGTATCCACATCCATCTGGTCCTCACCAACCTCGTTTTCCGACGACGACTGGCTGTTGTGTCTCTTCAATGAATAACTCTGGCCTAATCTACTAATGTGTTTTATAATCTTAATCTTAAATACAGCACGGCGAAGCCTGGCCTTTGCGTTGAAGTTCTCCAGCACGTCGGGAAGCAGATTGCGCGTGGACACGTTGCTGCCAGTCAGCCATGGGTGGTTCAGGGCCTGCTCCGCTGTCATGCGGCTCTGGGGGTTGGCTCTTAGGCACTGGCGGATAAAGTCCTTGGCATGGTCCGAGATGTCCCACCAAAAGCGCTCGAGAAACTTGATGTTGTCGCTTTGCATGGCCATCATCATTTTCGAGGGTCTTCATAGTTCCAAAAGGGGCTGTAACCACAAAGAACCGAGAATGTCACTACGCCTATCGACCACATATCAACGGCCTTTCCGTGACCTTTTCGCAGAAGAATCTCTGGCGCCGCGTAACCTAATGACCCGCACATGGTATTGAGAATCTCATCACTGCTGCGCATAATCCGTGCAATTCCAAAATCTGCCAACATAAGAGGAGCGTTCTCCGACTTGTCTAAGAAAATAAGGTTCTCAGGCTTAATGTCTCGATGAACAATGTTGTGCTTGTGAAGGTAGGTGATGGACTCTATTATACATTGGATGAGCTTGCGGGCATCGTTTTCGGAGAAGTGCCCGTAGTCACCCAGTTTCTCAAACAGCTCACCGCCCGTGCACAGCTGGAATACCAGGTAATAATTTTCAGCGGACTCGAACCAATCTAGGAGCTTTACAATGTTGGGGTGGTTCAGGTGGCGCACTATGTTTATTTCCTTAATAATCATTTGCTCGTCAGTAGTCATTGCGGCCTTCTTGATGACCTTGATGGCCACCCGGCGGCCATCTGGATTAAAGATGGCCTCTCTGACTTCGCCAAAAGTGCCCGAACCTAAAACCCTGCCAAAGGTGTAGTACTGCTCACGCCTGTAAGATTGAGGTTGTTGTGCTATCTGTTGCGACATTCTACTATTTGAAAATTATTTAAATTAGAAAAAAAATAATAAGTATAAGAAAAGTGTTTAAACGTGGTTGAGAATGTTTAAAGAAATATTTCATTGTTGAATTTAATGTTTTCAAAAAGAGCTATAGTACAAAAAAGCACAGAAAGGCAGCAAAGGAGCCTTCAAAGAAAGAGAAAGAGAAATCATCACGTGTTATACAATCATGATTCTCTCTGGTTTATGAAAGAGCTGAAAAGTATTGTTTTGTATTATGCGACTGAAACCAACCAGAAGTACGTGTAAGAATAATATGTAATGCGGTGTAAATATGCACCGTCAATATGCATAAAAGCGCCTTTTCCAACTATTAGCCTTTTTCTGGGTTGGTCTTGGAAAAAGCATTGAAAACAATCCAGATTGAAGAACAATCAACAAATCACAATAAAATAAATGAAAAATATAAATTGAGCTTTCTCTCTCACATTGCGCGCTGTGTGTGCTTGCAGTGGCAATGTCCGTGTCATCAGAACATGATGGTCGCAGACCAAGAACAGCAAAAATGTTTTGAATTTGTCCACCTTACCGAATGGCTCTGTGGCTTTTTTGTTTCATGTTTTTATGCATTAAAAATATCTCCTGTGCGAGCTGCAAAATACTGGCCCGTAGCAGCCACCTCCAACTCTGCACCTTGCACTCCATTTTTTGCCTAGATGTCGCAAAAAAGGGGTCCCAATTTAATATGCATCCATGTTTTGCTATTATTCTATTTTCAACCATGCGCTCTCTTTGTCTACCTCTCTTACTCATTTTTTGTCGGCCATTGACATTGCTGACACTTATTAAGGAAAAACAACTGCCCATTCGCCCCCTGGTTTTTACAGGGGGTTGTCAACCATTGTTTGATGAAACACGTATATCAACGCCCTCTATTTGTGAAGACCGCAGAGGCAGAAATGGCTGCAGTTTGCTCAACGTTTCGGATGAAATATTTTTTATCCTTTGCTTGTTTTGGCTTTTTATGTGCATGTATCCCAATGTGCAAATGAAGCTTTTAGCTGCTATGATTGATGCGGAACCACCAGAAAAGGGAAAAGAAAGCACAACCATGCCTCGGAGCAACCTCAGCCTTCATTATGAGAAGAAAAGACAAAAGGCAAAGTATTTTATTAGCCAATACAAAAATTATACCAATACCCACCACCCTACTCGCACTACTACCACTGCCAAAACAAATAAAACATATTGCTGCTACTTTGTTCTATTCCGGCTCAGCCTAAACGTGAGCTTGGCAAAAAAATTTATTATTATTTTTATACAAATAGCCACAATTTTTTGGCTGCAAAAATCTATTCCGACATATCATAATTTTCTGTACACACATGGTCTGCCCGCCAGCTGTCGTGCTCTATAAAATGTGGTCTAATCGATATATTCAAGTCTTAAAAATTAACTGAAAAAGGGGCAGCGCTGTGTGGCAGCGCTGTAAACATCATGGTTCTTGATGTCAGCAGCAATAACAGAAATGTGTATAGTGGCATGATGGCGATCTTGATTCTTGAAAAGATAGTGGCTTGAATGTGTTGGCACCACCAGCGACCGTGGTTTGAAAAAGCATTGTAAAAGTGACCGCTGATCAATATGTGCATATTTTGAAATATTATAACGGAAATTCGGATATTGCCGATCTTCGAACAATAACATGTGCATGAAAAAGGCATGCTTTCGCCAAAAAACGGAATATACATGCAACGAGAAAGCCCTTTTGAAACTTGCACTCTGCTCCAGCCGAACCTGAAAGAGACGACCCAAGAGTACACATTTTTTGTGAGTAGCAAAAAGAAGCGCATCCATTTTTGCACAGCTCAGCACAGCGCAAAACAAAAGAAGCGCAGGAAAATAAATACCAGGAGTCTCCCGCCTGCTCCTTTCACCGTCTTTCATCCTTGTTTTTTTCCTCCAACATCTCAAGCTAAGCTTTTAACACCACCCACGCACACCTCTCTCCGACACCGACACCACCATCACCAACACCACCAGCGCTACCCAAATATCTTGTCATATCATTATAACTTATCCTCTATATTATTTTATATCATTTATTATTCCCCACCTCTTTTGTTTCCTTTTAGTCGCCTTTTCGATCTCTCCATTTTTTAAATGCCTTCTATCAGTATTGTTTGTGCTGTTATGCGCGCGAGCATCGCCACACACTGTGGTCAAGATTACACAGGCTTTGTCCCCCCTGCCGCCGATACCACCGAGACTCTCGAGGAAGTTAGCACTCACATGCAGAGAAGACAAATGCTCTCCATTACCTACCAAGCTCCTTCCGAAGCCGAGCCCTCCCTGTGCCGCGTCTTTGAGGCACCCGCTGCCTTTACCGTCAAGCCTTTCACCCGCCCTGAAATGCCGCACACCAGCGTCCAAGCCTTGGGCCGCGTCTCTAAGGGGACATTTTCTTTTATCTTATACCCTTGCACCAATCCCGGGGTGTCGCACCAGAGTACAAGCATTGCGTCACATTTTTGAGGCAACTGATGCCCAGACTGACACCAGGCGCAAGAGGGTAGCCACTTTCATTTATATGGCTATATCCGCCATTGCCAAGGTCAGTGCGGCTTGCGCCCGGAATTGAACCTCTTTGCAGACAGATGGCCTCGTTGCGCGGGGAGCTGGACACACTTATTAGCACAATCACTGCACAAAGCGCTTAGATGCACGCCACAATGAGCTTGCACAATTGCACTCTGAGTTGGTCGCTCTGCAAGTCAAGCTGACACTGCGTGCAGAATAGGTGGATGCAATCTGTGCGGGTGGTCAGAATTCGTTGGAAACATTGCATTATAGCACCAATACCGCCGCCTTTGTCAGAAAAATTGCCACCAAGTGGCGGCACAAGTGTACAAAACACAAATTCCGTTGCCAACAGGGTCGTTTTTGAATAATCGGCACAAGTGCACAAAGCACGAATGCCGCTGCTAGCCGCCATAAATAATGGGCAAGACACTTCCAAAACTCCATTAATTGTACCCCAAGCGCCTGGGCATGGGAGCCGTACCGGATCCTATGCCAAGACCAAACCAACCCCCACCTTTAGGAACCATACCATTTTTTTTTTCATCATTTTATTTTTACCTTTGAATTTAAAAATTATAAAAAATAAATAAAACAAATCTAAAAGCACATCATACTCACACATTAATATTCTGTTTTGATCTATGCCAACATGGGATGCGTTATATGGCGGCGACCAAATAGTCAATAGTTGTTCTGAGTCTAATATTCTAACTGAGCCTAATGATTGGTTATGTCGGTTTGCTGGCATTTCGGTTGTCAATTGATTCAAAGCCGAAACGCAATGTCGTTTTTGGCATTGATTTAAAATAATACACGAGCGGAATTGTATACGCGTGCATACAGCCTTTCTTTTTATTTCTTCATGCTATGAATAAAGTTATATGTATTTTTATCTCTATTTTTCCATGAGTAGTAATATCACAATTATTTACAATCATTTACGAGTGTCACAGCCGCACGGAGAATACAGCAGGCAGTACTAACAACGAGGTGAGTATTTAGCAGCGTATTAACCGCCGTTTTGTTTTTTGATTATATCCTCAACAGCCATTTGAAAAGTCGCAGCATTATTGAACGCAAGAGCGCGGACAAATAATCAATGTTTAATCTTTTTGAAACCTGCTTTTAACACAAATAGGAGTTGGTGGAAAGAAAGCAGAATGAAAAGCAGGATTCTGGCGAGCGATATCTCAGCAGACTGTGGAGCAAGCGACTGAACCATTGTCTTTTTCAGTAGCACCGGCAGTAGCGTCTGCGACTACGCACAAATTAAAATAGACTAAATGACAATGACTTATTTTGTGCCTAGCCTGCACCTTGGATCTGATGCTGAGGATAAACAGTCGAGCAATAATAACAGCGGCAAGCACACGAACAGTGAGTTTGCCAGCATGATGGACAGCTGCAAGTCCCAGGTGCGCAATTTGCAGGACGCCACAAAGAATCCCGACAACAAAGCTGTCCACCACTGCAACTATCGCCACAACAGGTGTCTCCGCCGCAGCCACTCCAGAAGCGCATAGCACCCAAGCAAGGATAATACTCCTGCTTCTGCCCAACTCATACTCTATCTCTCAAGCCACAACTCAAAGCCCTAAGTTGTTTGAAAATAAATTTAATGGAGGTATATTACTATATTTAAATTTATTTATAAAAGTAATTATCATAGTGAAATATGCATATCTGTCACAGTTAAGGCACACGGCTTTGCATGTTGCCTTACTGGATTAATTGATTACCCGCGTGGCAATTAAGAAATGATGATAGGTTTTATTATAGTTTATTTGTACACCAGGGGAACATAAAAGGTGTGGCTGTCGGGCAGCCAGGAATTGTCTCCTTGGGAGAAATAAATACTCTCTTTGCTTTTATATCTTTTGTAACATATATTTTACTATTAATGATTGTCAATTGATAAAAGGAATACTTGATATTTAGATGAAAATGGAAATGATAAATGACTAATATAATATAAAATGGTAAAAATGACTAAGCATCTGTACTTGACTCGCTGCTCTCAGTTCCTGTCCTGATCAGCAATTCTCGGCAATACTCAGCCATCCTCCAATATGACCAACAGCTCTTGGCAATAGTTGGTGCCATGTCAGTGCGCACCTTAAACGGATCAACCATTGGAGTGTTCATAGCACCTCGCCGTTTAATTGCCAATGCAAATTGGATAATGGAGGAAACAAACCAGGCGTGACTTTCGAGGCAGATGATTCACAATTGCCATGGTTAAAAGATTGTTTCATATTTGCGCCCCTGCCATCCTCGCTGCATCCTGCATTGTCGATTAGAGTATCACGCATCATAATCAACAACCCTGCAAGGACATTGATATATCCACCCTACTATCAAGTTCGTTGAGAATAGATTTAAAACTGGAACTGTTGTCCAAATTGCCACGCTTAAACCCGGCAATATCCTTCAATGTTGTGCCGTCAACCCAATACTTGATTCTAACACCTGCAATCCTTCTGTGCTCATCTGTGTCACTGTCATGTCTAGACATGCCATTGAGTCCAAATGTCCCAAGCCACACCAAGACATATATCAGAGCCTCCCAGTCGTCGAGCTCAGTGCGCGTGTTGCTGTTGCCCTCGAGGTTGTTCACGCTCATGAAATTCAGTGTGCCGATATGCTCGTTTTTCGGCATCGCATCCAGATTCTCGCAGTCAATCGCATGGTCAAAATCAATCAACATGCCCTTGACGGTGCTATCCACCATACGCCGGAAAAGAAAGTTGCCTGCTGAGATATCACGGTGCAATATATTACAGTGCTCAGCAATGGCACGGTGAGCGCGCATAGCATCAGCAACAGCGATGATCAGCTCGGGAACAGACTGGAGCCTATCAAGTGGCATGCCAATTGGCGACGTGGCAATGCGCTTGTGTGCACAAAATGGCAGCTTCCGAATCTTCTCGCCGACTCTGACATTGTCAAATAGGTCCCCAAGAATATTGCGCGTCGTGTCCTCAGTACATGTATTGCTGCTGCAACTCTGGAATTTAATGCGACCGCCGGCTTCGAGGACCGGGTATGTGCTCGCAAGCTCTGGATAGCGCTCGAGTGTCCGGGTGATCTTGCGCAGATGGGCAACCTCGTCGCGCACGTCATTGTCGCCACTTCCATCAGCCACCTCGGTCCAGGCGTCCTTGATAAAAACGGTGCAGTCCTTGCTTCTGATGCGACTGTCTCTGGTTGGCTTCTTATCCGTTGCTAGGAAGCACCGCGTGAGCCGCCCAAACAAATGACTAGCCTCAATTGATATGTGGCTACTGTAGAATGTGCGTTCAGTATATTCAGAAGAATTGGCATTGCCACCGCTGCTGTCCGTGCTGTCAGCGCTGTCTGTGGCAGCTGTGCCAGGAACCGTAATCTCCAACAGTCGAGGTCATGCAAGTGCTTAATGCTTGGGTCGAAACCCAGCCGGTGGTCCTCGCTAAAGGACAAATTAACAAACAGCTTGATGACCTCGCTACGGCCCGCCTCGGTGCAAATGTCCATGGCTTCAGAGACCAGAACAAAGTTGCATCCAAACAAGTACACCCGGACAGAGCTGCCGCAAATAGTCAGGCCCCACACAAAGCGCCGGTTGGGCTGTGCGCGATAAATGTGGCGACAGTGCTTAGACAGCTGCAGCGCGGCGCTGTCCACGTCATCCGATGACGAGCCCTGCCCGACCTCGATGGCGGCAAACAGACCGGCGTACCACTCGTCGTTGTTGTTGATTGCGTCTACATTGCCGTCCAACGTTGCCTCGGAGCTGTCGGTCGTAGCGACAGTGGCCAGCGCAGAGTCGATGCCCAAGCCAATCCGACCAATGGTATGGTGGGTGCACTCTTCTCCAGTATCTGTAGTGCTGACTGGCGCAGTGGACAGAATGAGCACCCGGCGTGGCTCGGGGCGTCCTTGCCCTCCCTTGGCATGCTGATGCAGTCCATGGATAATACGAGATACGAACGAGGTAAATGACTCGGCACCTTTGCTTACGTCACCACTGCTGCTGCTGCTTCCGTTGTGGTCGCCAGATGTGTGTGTGCCTGTCCACTTGGAAAGTGCATTGTAGTCCTGCCTGAGCCTGCTCGCCAAATAATCAATGGCGGCGTAGTTCGAGCGAGCTAGCCTAACGGGCCAGACCGAGTCGGCGTTGATGAGCTCTTCCAAAATAGCCAAGTCGCTGGCCGGCATGTGCTTGGAGCCAGATGAAAGCTGCTCCATGGCCCGGTGAACAATATCAGCAACCATAGCCGCCCTCTGCTTGTATTCTGCAGCCACTGGTGCTGCCAGTTCGACGACGCTGGGATGTGGTCCACTGAGGTGTCGCTTTAACTCGCGCATAGCCGGCTCCATACGCTCAAACATCATTTGCCTTTCCGATGAGCTGGGCTTGGCATCAACGTGGGCGTTGCTGGGACAAGGGCCGGGTGCTGTGTCGGCCTGCTTGTCACCAGCTGGACTGCCTTCTTTTGTGTTGCTGCCTACAAAACAATTTCGTAATAATAAAATGCTGTTAGTATGTTGTGAGCGCACCAAAGCACCTTACGCTGGCCGCAAGGATATGTGTCGGCATACACAACTGTCTGCAAATAAAACAAACAAGCACTTACTATCAGACGGCGTAATAGGCACAGGCTGGGCTTTGTTCTGGCGTGGGGCTGCTTTCTTCTTGTACACGCGTTTTCTGTTGTTTTGCGGCTGCGCGGAGTTTGCAGCAGTATCCGCGTTTCTCTTTGCTCTCTTGCCTGGCGGTGCCTGCTTGGAGGCCGCGGCTGCCTTTCTCTTTGTGTTTGTTGGCTGAGAAGCGTTCATCTGTCGCCTCTGCCGCTTTGCGGTAACTGGCTGCGCACAGTCGTTTTGACGGACTCTCTTTGTCGGCATGTTTAGAATATGTGTGAATTAAACAAAGGTGATGCTGGTTTGCGAAGCGTGTAACTATTGAAAATATATCAAAAGAATTTGAACGGAGAAGAAAAAGGAAAAAAAGAAAACAGTTATGCGCGTGATGATTTGCAATAACAAAATACAAACAAAATTAATGGTAAATATTTTAATCTTTGCGTTCCGCAACACTAATTCAGGACAGCCGCCTCAACTACCGCGCACGACACAATCCCTCACATTCGGAAACCACCACCACTGTCCCCTCGATAGCTATAAACGCAGCTCCGCCGCCCATGCAAGGGAATTATGTGGATTACTCGTTTAATGTTTTATTGGGTTTTTATAATAAGAATCGCACCAAGGTACTGTGTCAAAATGGTAAATATTTTGGTTTTTGTTTACATTTGGCAAACAATATTCAGCGCTTGTCTTTTATTTGCATCTATGATTCTTTTTGGACCTTGCAAGCAGTTGTATAGCAAGCAGCTTATTATATCTGCTGCGGCTGCTCCTTCTGCCTGGCGTACGAGTCAAAAGCGCAGCGAGCTGCCGTGTAGATAGATAGTCGTCAAAAACCTTCTGTGGTCGACTTTCCTTTTCTATTCTTGTTTTATTTTTTGCATTTCTGTCGCTGTGTTCTTGGCGTTAGAGGCGCACAAGTATTCCTTCAAATGCCCTTTCTCTTGCTTCTTGCTGTAATCCCATTTACTCCTGTTTTAGTGCTTGGGTCTTGTCCTTCTCTCTGTCGCTCTTTCCTCTTTCTTTCGGTCATTCAACTTTTGCCCATTTGGCACTTTTATTTTCACTTTAGCGCTTTTCGAATTTGTGCATTCGAATTTCGGTTTCTTTTTGTTTGTCTGTTTGCTGCTCCACTGTTGCCCTCGCCAGACCGCTCGTGTGGAGATGCGCTTTCTCTGTCACGCTTGTGCGCACACTGCTGGTCTCCTTGTCTACTCTATCACCGCTCCCTCACACCCGCTCGCTCCTCTGTTTGTGTCTGTTGCCGCAGCCCGCTTTACCACTTGTGAGAATGTGGCCCACAGCTGCCGCCTTTGTCGGCAATTGGGAGTGTCACGCTCTGCACATTTGTTCCTACCCGTCATGTCTCTCGTACATTTTTTGTCTCTCTCGCGCTTTTCTTTGTCTCTCTCGGCTTTGCTCTGTTTTTCTTGTTTGCCCGGCTGCCTCTTTTTGCACCTATATTTGTCCCTGGCTGACCCTTGCCCTTGTGAGTGTTTATCGCTGTGCTGGTTTGTTGCTGCTCAAAGAAGATACTTGGAGATTGATGGCGGAGCCTGAGACCGAGTGGATATATTGTGGCTGACCGCCTATAAGCCACGGATAGCACCATTGCATGGCGTGCATGTCTTTTTTCTTGTACACAGACAGCCACGCGCACGCATTTGTGTCATTTCGCTCTTGCCTTCATCGATATTGGATCCTGATCAACTCACGACCTGTGAGCTGCCCTCATCTTGCTCAGACATTTCGCACTCTAGCACCACGCTTTGCCATCACTGTTTTTCGTTTATTCGGCGACTGTTGTGCACTTCTGCCTTGGTTGGCAGTTGAAGACTGCTCACTCAGGCACATGTGTGTGCCTGCTTGTCTTGGCTACCTGCATGCTTCACTGAGCATTGCTGCTCTTTC